AAAGTTTAAAGAATATCTCACTATTCTCAGTATATGTTATGCAACGCTTGTTTATAGTCGCTTGGTGGAAGTGGAACAGTAGTGTTCCCAGTAGTGTAAAGTGTCCAGTAGTGGTGATATGTTGAGCTTAGAAACAACGCGAAGGACTTCGCTGTAGGAATCATACATCTGCTTTTGCATTTCATTTCATGTCGCTTTTGCGTTTCTAACTGAAATTGTTCCATCACAGACTTAAGTAATACTTTGAAGAATTATCCAATAAAGTGGCGAAAAACTCTTAAGAAACCTTTAGCAGATTCGCAGTGATTTATACAGATTCAGACGCACACGTAGTAGAGAATAAATTATTTATTAAATTTCAGCCAACACCAAATGGGACGGGAACTATTAAATTATCTATGACATGATACAAATGTAATACATACGACATATACGACATGGTTACCTACCTTTCTCATGCGTAGGACCGTATATCATTAGTTCATGATCAGGTTTAAAATGTGCCAGTTATCAGAAGTGAGCGCATACATATACAAATATTTTTATCTATTTTATTTCCCATTACCCGTTACCATATCTACTATGCGCATTACAGGACCTCTTGTATTCGGTTCGTATTCTGCGCATTCATCGTTCGCAGTGGTCTTCGAAAATTTCGTTTGTTGTTTCAGTTATAGCTCGAGGTTTTTACCTTCTTTATCAATGCCGTGGAATTCTGGTTTAATCGATTGTCTTTGCATTCTTGGAGACAGCCGAACTAAGGCGTTTTCACGTGAGTTGGACAGAAACGTTAAGGAAGAGTTCGAACTAACGCGTTCAGTTCCTGATCGAAGAGAATGCAATGTGTTCTCTTGTTGTACTTACAAGCAATTTTATTTATGTGTAGCTTTTGACTTGTATTCTTGATGAGATGGCACGCATGGGTTTCTTGAACATTCTAAAATAAGTCACATAACTTGATTGTGGAAGCCTATAGCGAATATCATCAACTTACGAAACTCTTGATTGATCCATCTTTTTCGTTCGCAATGATGAATCGTGTAATTTGTACGGAATCAGTGGATATATACTGACACATTTACCTACAAAACGGTAGTGCAAAGCCTCTTTTATAAATATACTGTTGCCCAAGCTTTTAATATACACTAATAGTCGAAAGCTGTGGAGAGTATGAATGCGTCGTTTTCTTGTTCAGCAATCGCGAGGTTGTTAAACAACACACATTTACTTTCATAGAGAGACACAATACAACACAACATCAGCTGACGTTTCGGCAGTATCGCCTTCTTTAGATCCTGGAAGGGTATACTAATATACAATCTACTAGACCAAACGCTTCAATACCACTTACAAAAAGACGAGAAACTATGGTAATAACATGATCAACAGCTTCTTGAAAAACTCACCGCTTTTTACGTGACTTCCAGTGAGGAAGGTTAGAACAGCTGATTATAGTCGCATATGGTTGATGACTGCATCATCCCACATCAGAAATCGGTGCGAACATATAACATAAAAAGAACACCTAGATGGCAAACGAAAACTAGGGCAGGGTACCCCACTAGGCACGCATAGGATACAAAAGCATAGCGGAGACGATTTTGAAGTAAAAGTCAATATCCTTGCACAGGTGTCCAAAACACCAGCGCGAAAACTCCTTGAGGCTTTTTGGATCAATGCCAAAAACCCTACAATGAATAGCAGGGACGAATGCCCGGAGGTCATACGCGACCTGATCCCTGTTCGCATCGATTTTTGATGTGGGATGGTGCAGTCGTCAACCATATGCGACTATAATCAGCTGTTCTAAACTTCCTCATTGGCTTGGATCAATGCCAAAGACCCTACAATGAATAGCAGGGACGAATGCCCGGAGGTCATACGCGACCTGATCCCGTACGTTCGCATCGATTTTTGATGTGTGGGATGGCGCAGTCGTCAACCACATGCGACTATAATCAGCTGTTCTAAACTTCCTCATTGGAAGTCACGAAAAATCGGTGGGTTTTTCGAGAAGCTGTTGATCATGTTATTACCACAGTTTTTCGTCTTTTTGCAAGTGTTATTGAAGCGTTTGGTCTAGTAGATTGTATATTAGTATACCCTTCCAGGCTTTGAAGAAGGCGATAATACTGGAACGTCGGCTACTGTTGTATTGTATTGTGTTTCTCTTTGGAAGTAAATGTGTGTTGTGTAACAACCTCGCGATTGCTGAACAAGAAAACGACGCATTCATATTCCAATGCCGAGGCTAATAGAAAGTCAATCATGGGAGCTGTGGAGAGTTATCGAGGAACTGGCATTGTATGCAATGTACAACATCGTTTTTGAGAAATATTTCGTTTGCTTCTAATTTCTAATCGCTATAATGACTTATGGGTATTGTTCGGAATGACAGGATATCAAAATAAAAAAGTACTAAGCCACGAAGAACATGCCGGGATGACAAACACTTCTGAGATGTTTAGCGCAAAGATACTCTAGAAACAAAGTCCAAAGGTGTTTGATGTACCAATGTGTGGAGGTAGATCTTCATACATGTTTTTGCATAGAATTTTTGTAGATCTTTAAAATCATAAGAATTTTAACATTAGTATAGTGGCTAATTTTAAGGTGATCAACGGGACATCAGACATCGATGTCGTGAGGCTACGCACTTACGCTTGGCGTCATACCATTCCGAGTATGCATCGTGTGCAGATGTACAAATACATGCTCGGTATTAGTGGTGCATATCCAGAGACGCGCGAAATTGTCGCACAACATAGAAGAGATGAGGTTACATTTGGCATTATATTACTATTTGATTTGTATTACAGTTTAGAAAATGGTAATTACTTACTTGGAAAGTCCGTTTTCACGAGTAGTGTGAACCCCAGCAAATTTTATAGTTGTTTTTTTCTCTCGCCATTGTCGTCGATGGTGGTGGTTTGGTTCGAGCATGTTGCTCGTGAGAGACTCATACCGTGTTCTGTAAAACAGCGCCACTTGCGAGTAGATTGATTTTAGGTATGAGTCCGTCCGCAGTTCTTCTCGTCCATGTTTCATCTGTACTTCTTATTAAATTGCCGGCACATCTGTGTTTCGCTATCAATGTGTAATATTCCGGATCTCGAATGTGGAAAATACTTCGAAGATCGAAGCTTTACATTCCGGCTAAATATGCTTGTTGGCTTAGAAAATGATTCGAAGTGCTGTAGAATTTTCAATGTTGGATTATTTAGATGCTTGGATACTTGGACGGCAAGTCTTCAATTCTAGAATAGTGCGAGCGCTATCTCATTTTTCATTCCTTTTTTGTTTTCCCATTCTTCGTCAATTTTAATAGTTTGTTTCGAGTATCTTGATGTTTATATCGTATATCGTATATCTATGTTTATATCATATATCATATATCGAGTATTATATCAAGATGTCTAAATCATTTGCTAATGCGAATCTAACTCGTGGATTGCAACTGCGAACACATTCGCTTTCGAAGGTCTTAACTGCAAAATCCGGCAAAATATTGCTTATGTTGGTTATATTTCAGAGGATATCGTTCAAAAGCACCGTAGGTGGTGCTTAGAATTTAGGACGTCGTTATATTATTTCAGTTCATATCACTTATTGTCCCACGTCTCATTTGTATAACTGGCTCCTGGGAGACTGTTAAAAGGAAAATGTGAGCGAAGTATTACGGGCCAGCTAGTTTTTTAGTGGCTTCTTTGAGAGGTCTATGCTGCTTTGCTTCTATACATTTCCTCCATATTGTTCTCCATGTCTACTGATAACCCAAGGTGCATGAAAAAGATGATCTTTATAATTAAAACACCATCCACTTCAATCTATTCACATTCTCATCGTCGATTTTTCGTGAACAGCGTTCTGTTTCAACATAGTCGAATCCCGTTTTTTCTCACCTTGAGCTCATTGGTTTTAACTCCCAAGTCCGACTTTCTATTAACCTCAGCATTGATTGAATATATCTTTCTACTTCTGTTCAGCAAACACGAGGTGCTATTTAAGCAAATAGCACCTCGTGTTTGCTGAACAGAAGTAGAAAGATATATTCATTGGTTTTAGTTTCTGCTTTACTACTAGTAAAGGTTTTATGGGGATGATGTATGTCGCCAGACGAACGAGAATGCAAGAATGACAAGAACAGTGCATGTTCCGTTCTCTTTCTAATCCAGCGGCTTCGTTATCTCTTGAGGTGCGGTTATGAACCGCATTGACAAGATGTTGTCGCCTTGTCAGAATCATTTCCTATGGTACGTGGTAGGAATACGGAACATAATCGAATCTAGTTAGAATATATTTCTTATTCTTTCATTGATAATCTAACACGAGGTTGATAAATAACTTTGTTCGAGTGACGTTTCGACGTCTTCGACATGGTTTTTCGACGGAGGCGCCACATCAAGAGTACGAAGGGCTATCAACATCGACTTGTATCGTCGGCCTTCGCGAAGACAAAGACATCGGAATCCTTCTAAATCAGGAAGCTTAGCTAACAGTAAACCAATACCAGGATCGATCACCGTCCTGGTACCAAACTAGTCGCATGGTGGCAAATCTCCCTCTGATTAACAAAGGCTAGGACTTCTTGTGGTGGTGAAGAACTTGGGCAGTCTTTGGCCAGGCTGACCTCGGGATTCCAGGGAACCACAATGGTTTAACCAACAAATCTCCGAAAAGTGGAGGTTATGCTGGGGACCGCACAACCAGTGAGTATGGGCCGTCTAAAGATCCAAGTAAGTATACCATATATTGTATATCAGTTATATATCATCTGCATCACATTATGAACAGCTCGAAAAATTTGCCAAATAAAAAGTTATGTAACCTCGGGTAAGCTGAAGAATCTAAAGAAATATGTTGATTATTAATGCTAAGGCAGATTGAAAGGGGGATTCGAAAACTACCATTTGTAATAGTATGTGTAGTAATTTCATGGTCATGTAATCTTGCACACACTACAAGAGAGCACTTTATAATATTGTGAAGAGTTTACCCTGATGCCAATAGAACTGCATACATCGAGGGTAGGTAGATCTGTCGATATCAGACCTTTCCACATAATATACGGAACCACTCAATGTAGATTAGTGCACTCGCCAGTTCCTCTTATCTCTTCTTAACTTGCAGGTGTAATAGTTTCACTTACCATTTAAAGGCTGGAGTACTGCTGCGTTGTCTAAAGGCAACTCGTTTCATTGATAATCAAAACGTCCATGAAAAAACAGCGGAACCTGAGCCGACCAGCAACGATGTCGTTAAGATGATTCTCCTTGCTAACAACCGCTTGACAGATGCATTTATTCGGGATGTTCAATACGTAATCATTTCTGCGGTGAGTCTGCTTTAATTCTGTTTTACTTAGTACAGTTCTCTTATATCCATCAGAAAAGAATTACGCAATGTAGAATATGATTGAACGCCATGCTTTAATGAACTATTGTAGTCAATCATGTAGCCGTTTATCGTAGAGAAACGCCTAATCCAACAATGATTGAGTTTTATTATGAATCCTACAGTTTTGACGACGTCAACCTTATGCGACTATAATCAGTTGTTCTAAACTTCCTCATTGAAAGTCACGAAAAGAGCGACTCTGAAGAAGGCGATACTGCTGAGACGTCAGCTAGTGTTGTATTGTATTGTGTTTTTCTATGGAACTAAATGTATGCTGTTTAAAAACCTCGCGATTGCTGAACAAGAAAACGACGCCTACAGTTTATATTTGATAACTGCAAGCGTAATGTGGAAAACAGCTGTTAGTTTCTTAACACTTCACCAAGACCATTTTGAAACTGCACTAAGCAAATTGATATGTATTTTTTCATTGATAAGCCAGAAAGTGGTTGGTAAAAAAAAGGTTTACTTGGCTAATGTTTCGATATCTTCGTTTTCATCGGAGCCGACGATCCGAGTCGATACTTCACAGTATACAGATATTTAGTTGAAAATTCGCAAATTTGAATTATGCAAACTGAATTACGGTATATTTCTATATTTCCATGTTTTTTTTCTGTTAAAATTTCGTCTTTGATAACAGAGTTTTCCATTTTAAGATAGTACGACAAGTCTGGACGGTATGTCGCTGTGACTGGGTAGATAGGTTCTGTATCGCTAGATCTCTGTATTCGATGTTAAATGAAATGTTTGATGAACGTACCGTTCGCAGCACGATCAAAGAAGTAAGTTAGCTATGCCGATTGTTCACAAAAATAAAGGAGTTATAACAGTGCCCTGAAACGATATTACATAATTGGGTTTCCAGATTCATCACGAAGTGAACATGTTACGTGCTGCATCAGAGCAACTATGGGCTAAGTTCGATGTTGAGATTTGGCTTAAGACGGGGTGTTGTGCATTACTTCGATCCGAGAGAGCAATGCAACGGTATTTGTCCTTTTTACACAGATTTTAATAGAAGTGCAATTTTTTGATTTCTGTGTTTTGTTCCGTTATGAAATGTACCACTTTGATGTCATTTAGAGAAGAGAGACAGAATTATTTTGTTTTAGGGTTATGGACAAGTTATGTACTGGAATAAATGTAATACCTTTGGTGAAAGCACTAGCAGTCGACTACTTGCAAAGTGCTGAGGAGCGTTTCGGTCAAGGGTTAACAGTAAGAATTTCTTTTTCTTGTTCTTGCTTAAATTTTCGTAGTAATATTACCAGTCATATTGCCCACTAAAAGATTTCAAGCCGGTTAGTAGCGAGAGTACATTGCGCGACTGCTGAGACAACGAATACCCACACCTTGTAACGACCAGCTATAGATCCAGAGACTTGGATCAGTGCGTGTTTGGTGCAAAGGTGAAGGCGCATAATAAAAGTGTTGTGCTGTTATGCTAACCTCTTGTCAGCTAGATCATGTGGATAAATTGTCGGTTACTGTTAGCGAGGTTTAAATGAAAGTCCCTTTTTAAGACTTGTCGGGGTGCATATTTGAATAATCCATCTTTTATTCTGGTTGACAAATCACCATAATTCCGACCTAGGCATAATAGGCTAGATGCTTCGGGAACTTGCAGACCTACACTACCGACAATACAGCGAAGAAAACATACATGTTCACCTTGATTCATTTGTACTTCGGTTGATGAAATACAGACGATCTTCAGATCTACGTCTTATTGTTTTATGTGGGGGATTTTTGACTAGTGATTTTATTTTTTATTAGTTCTCTATCTTTTATAATACGAAAGTATTTATTGCAGAATGTTGCTGAGGTTACACCGAGCGAGGACGGCGAACTACGGATGGTGAATAGGGCTATCGAGGCAGTACTATATGAGACCATGCAGAAGAAACCAGCAAGAATTTCAGAAACCAGGACGAGAAACGCCATCAGCTGATGAAAGATAAATACCACTAGCTATTTTGGTGGTATTTCTATATCTGCTCTACATTCTGTCGGGTAGTTTGCTTTGGCTTTCCCAATGACAGTGAGAAGGAAGAAGATGTAATAAACCCTTCAGAGTAATCTTATGATTATGTGGTGGTGGAGGTTGTAATTCATATTGCCGAGGCTCCATGGTGTCTCTCCTATCGATGTTTACAATGATAATTCGATGAAATAGTAAACATCACATCTTGATGGGAAGTATGACGAACTGCTATAGTCATTCCATCCAAATTTATTGCACGTCTCAACAGCTGCGGGAAATAATTGTTGATATGAGCCAAGATACCATCGGTGACTCTATGACTTCAATAAAAAGAACTACTACTTCCCAAACTTTCTCATCAAAAGAGCGTAGAACTGCATTTCGATAGTGAATTTCGTCAGCCAGCATTGAAAGTTCCATGCTCTTCTACCATGTTCTGTGTTCCAATACTCTAGTGGTTACTTAATTGAGGCATTTCGAATAAATTTCAAAAATCCAAGGATGAACCAGAAAGACGAATGCCTCATTATCACACATGATATGGCCCCTTACTTCAAAACTATTTTTTGACCTGGATGGATCTCGCTCGTAATCCCACATGAACAACACGCGGGCAGTCCCACTCATAACAGTACGGTGAGTAGTCTTTTTGATCAATATCGAAGTTTATACAAAGTCGGTCTTTTGACTTATTCATACTATTCATAAGAGATCATCGAGATTCACTTGGAAATGAAGATTGGAGGGTTTCGAAACAGTACATCACCCTGTTGAACTTATCTGATATGTGGAATGTCATGAAAGGTTACAAATAAAGAGGAAATACTTTCGAGAATCTTCACATTAGTGACTGGTCACTGTCTACGGTCTTTCTTTGAGGAGTACCAGTAGCTGAGCAGACCGATGAGCGTTCCATATCGCTCCCAGATAGATAGCAACGTATCATATATAAATATTAGATAAAAGTCCCTAGGTGTTTTAGTAGGAAACCAGACACCAGTGTCGTTCCGTAGATAGCGAACGATGATGCAATTCAACAGTTTTTCTGTGAAGAATTGTCAACCTTACTTGATGTCAAATCATGAGGACCATTGCAAATAAGACTTTTGCCACAGCATCAATATCAGTGGTAATACTGCTGTGAGAACCTCGCTTCTATCATGATTTTACATTGTCATGACTTCCCAAATATCCTTGAAATAAAGTAATTAGCGGCAACAGATTGAGTGAAAACTGCTTTCACATAGAAGCGCATGCTGTTCTACTAGTATTGTGAGCCATCAGTGTCGTCGTCCGATAAGACCACTTCAATTCGCAGAAGGATGTAGCTGTAAACAAAGTATTTTGTCTACAAGAAAATTTATAAATCCATCTCAGTGAGGAGGTCCATGGTCATTAAAGACGAAAGCTCGTCTCAAGATGGCTATCAGTGGTTAAACATCAAACGAATTCGCCTTAAAAATTAGCATGACAAGGAAATTATCACACCTAGCAAGTCTCGGATCGTTCGACATCTGCTCCCGATAGGATCAAACCACCATATCATCTTAAATGATTGTGGCTAGTTTTCGCCTCAATATACTCTCTGGGTTTTCTTACACATTTTCTCTCAGAATGGAGGTTTTCAAACAATGGGATGAGCGAGACAATGTTGTACAAATAAAGGGTTACCAACCATACATCGGCAACTGTCACCCTCTCTGGGCCGTCAATCATCTTCAAGTTTTTTTCTCAATTCATCCTCAATGGAATTTGTATGACATTGCTGGAAGGGTGAAGGTAGTCAATTGCACAAGCAAACAAGAGTCCTAAAAATGTTCAGCAGTAACTTTTTAGTTACTTTTACACGTCGGCAGAACACGAAAGTATTACGATAGTGCAAAGTGCCACGTAGCAGGTCTGGAAAGGCGACGTTTGTTAAAATTATTCAAAGAAACTCTCGAGGAAATCATTCGAAAATTGGAATGAGTTAATACATGATTGGATATCGATGCTCATGAAGGTTGTATTTGAGCCTGATGTTGCACCTGATGTTGCATGTAGTGCAGGAACGTATTGAATCACTTAACAAATAGTACGGGACGAATCAGCCATAATCACAGTTTTAACTTTTTAGTAATCTCAACTGCAGTTTTACACGGCAGAGTATTATGGGAAATATAATCACAATGATGCAAAATGCAAAGTTAATATGACGAAGCAATAAAGAGGGTGATTGGGTGAGTTAAGGTACGGCAAATTTGATATTTTGCGAAGCGTGCTGATGCGAATATGTTGGTGAAACAGGCAGGCCATTCTGGATTTTTATAGAAAGATGCCTACACGGTAGGCGTAAGGTTTAAAAAAATACCCCACCAGGCGCTCATGGGACACAGAGACATAGCGAGAAAATATTGTTTTAGAAATGAGCATTCTCTCGCAAGAACCTAAGATTTCAGCACGTAGAACTCTTGAAGCATTCTGTGACTCGAGCGGGCACCAGTAAATCTTCCATTTTTCCCTGTCGCGTGCAAGAGTAGCCCAGTGAGTTCTGCTCGCTCTAGGAATTCGTCGAGCTCATATCTTTCTTATAGGCTCTTCGTGAAGAACTCTGACCATCGGGTCGGTGGCCTTCCTTCACTACGTTTGACATCCCGAAGAATCCAGTCAATAACGGGCATGTCCACCGGTTGTCGTTCATACGCATTATATGCCCAACTTATCTTCGACTGTTTGGCGTATAAAACGACATCTTTGACTTTTGATCGTTGAGGCAGGTCGGAGCTTCGGATCCCTTCCTGTGTGGCACGGGATACTCTCAGCATTGTCCTTTCGACTGCACGTTCGATAACACTGACTGATCTTTCATCCTGCTTACGCACCTACCAGGTTTCTCACGCATACGTTAAGGCAGGAAGTACCGTTGAGTCGAAAAGCTGGGCATGGAGCCGGGTGTTCTTTGTTTTCCTCAATACATCCTCCATGTCTTTGAAAGCTTCTCAAGCCTCTCGTTTCCTTCTGCCCAACTCCGGAGCTAAGTCGTTCATCACGCTGATTTCCCCACCTAGATACTAGAACACTCGGAGATATTCATTCCATTGAGCGTGAATGGGAATTTCAAAAAGCGAACTGTCGGGATTAATGCCTCATTAAACCACGTGACCTCACACAATATCTAAGATTGATATTTCAAAGTCAAATCAAATCAAAATCACAAGCCGAACGTGGGGGCTGAAACATTTCAGAACTATCCAGCATTCTTCATCAAAGAGACTATATTCCATTCGCGAGAACGCCTAATTTCCACCCTCTACAACTTCATGGTTTTTTGAAAATAAACAGTAAATTTCCAATAACTGGAGAAAGTGAGTGGTTTTAATTATGTCAAAACTGTAAATGTTACCTTAATCTGTCGTTCTAAATAATATTATCTGTATGCTTTACTATGCTCCATCATTCAAACAGCATTTGGAAGTGTTTGTAGCTCATGTTCTCTATTTCGGCGTTCTTAACACTCGTACGTACCACTCAATAACCATGACTCATCATAGTGACTAAGGCGAAATAACAACTAATTGGAAGTCATTTTGCCGTTTACTGAACTTGTTCGAAAAAAGTTTTTTGTAAGTCACTAAGTCTAGATGGAAGTCTAGTTCTCTAGTTTTCTAGTCCGACCTTCTTTACCACTCTTTGCTTTCGGTAAGTTATCGAATGGTTACAAAAAATGTCGCAAGAAGTTCTGCGATGCGAACTAAACCATCGGGAAGAAAATGACGCCTTTACAGTTCACTGCATCGGCGTTTTACGAATCACCTTAATGCTTACAGTTTAGTAAAATACAAGCTACCATTCCAGTAGGCATGTATGCTGGAAATACATCACGTCTAAACTGATCAGAAAGTGCTTTTTGGCAAATCATGTGCAGATCTAAAGGAACCAGCTCGAATCCTGCACTAAAACCGTAATGCTTCAGTGGCAACGTAAATTACAATTTTTTTTTGAAAACGTAGAAAATTGCGTTGCGATTATCGTAAGAGACATTCTGTTAGCGACAAATGGTGAAAGGGATGATGGGTAGGACGACCGGCATTGATCAATCCGTGAAGGATGCGCCATGCACACATTCAACTTCATCAAACATCGTAGGCATGACTGAATGCATACCTGACCCTTCCAACGACTCACAGTGACCTGCTGATGCATCAAATCAATGTTTCCATCCTCACAGATAACTCTGGTACCAATTTGCTGATACCGGAACAATGAAAGACTTGTGGAGGGCGGTGGCTTGAGATCGAAGCTCTATTTATTGTAGGACACCTTTAATCGCTGCGTTACACACGCAGATCAAAATCGAGCTCACAACTGCGCTGAGATAGAAACTGATCAAAAAGGTGGGTGCAATCTCATCTACTTCTTTGCGGTGTCGATGGTCGTAATTGCACACAAACTGTTTATATGCTACAAATTGACATGGCCATTAAACATTGAAACCAAGAAACAGGTGTACACGTGAGACTCGGTTTCGCATACAGTGGACTAAGTAGCAGTGTATTTGTGGATTAGTGGTAAGTATAAGTGTAAGTATAAATACGTAGTATAAGTATAAACCGTTCACCTTTGATCAATCCTTGAGGGATGCGCCATGCATTTCTGCTCACCAAAGAATGTTATAGATGGTTGAATGCATATGTAGCTTATGCAATAACTTGCTATTGCCTGCCGATGCACCAAGTTAGTGTTGTTATACTACCAAATAACCCTGGTGCCAATTTGCCACCCTCATAGAGGAGGTGGGCTTGGCGAGGCTTGGGCGTGCGATCGAACCAATGACCACGTGTGTATTGGAGGACATCTGCGACCATTGCTCTACACGCGTTAATCTGTTTATACTCACGAATAGCCTGCTTGTCTATTCCGAAGCAAAGAGCTGTCTTTACAGTATTTCAGCAAATTCAAGCACGTAGTTTGAAATGTGTGAAGCATTT